GCCGCCTCGCGGACCCCGGCTGACCCGCTTTCCGGCCTGCGGGCCCCTGGAGCCCTACCTCCCAGAGCCCGCCAAGCCGCCCGCCAAGTACCTGCAGGATCTAGGGCCAGGCCCAACGCTCAACGGCAGCCACTTCTACGAAGGCCCCGCGGAAGGTAATGCGCGACGCGGGGGTAGCGCGCAGCCCGACCCTTTCTCCTTCCCTACCCTGGCCCGCGCGGGCCTCCCTCCCTGCTTCTGTCTCCCACTCGCCCATTAACTTTTTGCCCATTTCACTTTTCGACCCGGCTGTCTCGGAAGCCAGATTGAGGTTGGCCCGGGCCAGGCAGAGGCCAGCGAGGTGCGGGAGGCATAGGCACCCGTGTTCACGGCCACGGCGGGACTGAGAGGCGGGAGGTCGAGGGAGGGTGGAGCAGCAACGGTCCGGAGCCAGGAAGAGATGCTTGCCGGAGTTAGACTGGAACTACCACCGAGCAACCCAGAAGTTCGGACTGGGCCGAAGGCCTGGGACCCGTACTGAGCCCCGACGCTGCAGGAGAAGCGCACAACTCTTCTCTGGCACCCGTTGAGGCCGCAGAGGCTGGGCCTTGACCCCGAGTGACCGAGCCGGCTCAGCCAAGGGCTGCGGCCTGGCCTACTCCTCCCGCTGCCTGTGCACTGGGCGCTCCAGGAGTGGCCACAGCTGGTTCCACAGCGCTCAACACCGAATACATGTTCTTAGTTCTCAGACTAACCTGGCCTCCTTGTCGTCTTAACGCACGGTGACGGCCTCTGTTCTCGCAGTCTCGCAGATCTCTGCACCGGATCCTGAGCACTGAGCCGTCTCGAACCGCCCTAGGCAGGCCTAAATCCTGGGCTTCTCAAATCCCCGGGCTGGAGCCCCGAGTGCGAAGACGGGTTGGCCCGTGCCATCACCTGAAATGCATGTGAATGCGGAGGCCTGGCAGGCTGGTCCGGGGCCGTGCTGCCACCCACCAACATCAGTGACTGGTAGGAGTCTCCACGCGCCTGCCCCATCCATGCTGCCACACCCTGCAGCAAGGGACCTCGGAGACCACTGGCTCCTCAGCCTGGCGTCTCCCCGGCCTCTACTGAGTGGCCAGACAGCTCGGGCCTCCGTCCAGCAGGAGTAGGTGAGAGTGTGGAGGGGAGGGGAGGGAGGTGTGTGCGGGTCAGTGGAGGAAATGAGCGACTCCTCGGAGCTTCATGTCTGTGTCTTTTGAAAGGAGGCTCTCCTGATAAAAACCACAGTTGGGACTTAATGAGAAGCAGTTGGCCTGGCTCCTCTGATCCCTGCCAGACGGCGGCAGCCGCGCAGTGCCCAGAGCACCTCCAGGGACAGGTACTCGGCTTGGCTCAGCGCTCGGCGCCCGGCGGGACCCAGCCTTCTGGCTGGCGTCTCCGCCATTGGGCGCATTCTGCGCCGAGCGCTCAGGAGCCTGAACCGGCCTGGCGCTGTGCACGCTTCGGCTAGCGTTAGAGCAGAACGAGATCTGAGATCCGACGGCAAGGAGAGCAGGCAGACAACGAAATAGGGAGAAAGAAAACAAAGTGTAAACAACAACCCCCCCAAAAGGGGGGAGAAATTTGAGTTACATAACAGGAGGGCACCAGAACAAGAGGTAAAAGACAGTGGGCATGCTGAGCAGAAAAGCGGAAAGGAACAAATGAAGGAGCAAACGAAAAAGAAGCAACGGAAGATCAAACGAAGAGAATTAAGGAGCGAAAGGACAAGGAGAGAAAGAACAGACAAAAATGAAAGGAAAAGGGGCACCCTAAAAGAATGGCACCCCCCAAATGAAAACAAGTGCGATATGAAAACAACTTTCACGTGAGCGGAGAACAGGCCAAATGAAAAAGGGGCTCGGTGGTGTGAGCGGTGGAGAGGAGATTCTGGCCCCTGATGGTCACCCCAGGATCCCAGCCTGAGCTCGGAGGGCGGCCCAAGACCCTGCAGGGCCAAAGACCTCGGTTCGGCTGCTGGAGGACAGCCTGGGGGTTCCAGCCACGCTGTCTACTAGAGGAGTGGCAGGCGAAGGAGGAACCCGCCTTATTTCCCTGCTTTTAAAACACTGGGCTCGGAACGTTTCCAGTCCAG